AGCTTTAAAGCAAAAAGGAAGCGTAAAGCTGAATATCCAATTTGCTGGAGAAAGTATGGAACAAGAATTTATAGTTATGGAAATCTAGACATAGCAATAATACTTGGTTGTGATTTCCTACAAACTGTGGGAGCAAACCTCAATTTTGAAGCTAAACAGTGTTCTCTCAAATTTGATAGAAGGAAAGGGAACTGGCTGAAAGAATAAGGCAACCTCAACTAAACAAAGTCACTATAGCCATGATGGGACAGCATGACTCTTCATCAGAAAGTTCAGATAGTGATGACTCAGAGATGGAAGTTACTAATTCTGATACTGGTTATGACACAAGCAATACTTTCAAAACAGACAGTAATTACAGTCTCAATGAACCTTCAAGCTCATCTGAAAGTGATGACACAGAAACAAATAATGAACTGGATCAAAATACAGATTCAGAGGCAAACATTATCTCTGATAGAGAAGATGAAATACCTAGTTCAGACGATGAGTCAATAATTATTGAAAGCGAAATTATTGATATAACCCATTCGGATAATGAGTCAATAATTATTGAAGGTGAAATTATTGACATAACCCATTCAGATAATGAGTCCTCATAGTGGTAGATTCATCCCAAGATGAGAAAGAAAATACAAGTGACACAGACAATGAGTCAGTCATATTTTTAGATGAGACTAAAATCATCTCTGAACAATTAGATTCCCAACAAGAAGTGGAACCACAATATATAGAGTTAGAAGATGGAATAACTATCAGAGTGGAACAACAACACAAAATTTTCAACCATTCAACTATAGCCAACACAGGAAGAGCTAACATGAAACAGATGTTGTGGCTTCCACTAGTGATGACTGTAATGGTGATCTGTGGCTGCATCCACTCAATAACAGTCCCAAAACCATCCTACCAAGGTGCCCATGTTACAAGTGCAAACATTACCTTAACATTTAAACCACCATTATACTTTTGTTCTAACCAACTACCAAGCCAGGCATTTGATCTAGCAGATGAGCCAACTTGTAATATAGAATCACAAGAAACCAAGACAATTACAGCTGATATCTATGAATTGAACTTGGAAGAAATTGAAACAAGAGCAGTAAAATGTCAAGTGTATCTAAGAACTAATTTTTACACTTACTATTTCTTTGGAGCAAAGAAGAGGAGGATTGTTAACTCAGTTATCAAAGTAACTCATGATCAATGCAGACAGATGATAAAAGACAAACGATCTTTTCAAGGAAAACCTTTAATGGTGAAAAGAAACACTTGGATCCACCAAGATCAGTTTCCTGCTGCCTACACATGGCCAACAACGACCAAGGTGCTGGAATACACCACAATTATCCAGTTTGGCAAAGCATATTGGCAACCTCCTAATATGAAAATTACAACTAATCTGGACTACCTGGAAGATTGTTTACCAGGGCAGTCCTATTGTGAAACAGAAGAGGCAATTATTGTCTTTAGGAACCTCAAGAATAATTACACACTTGGGCAACAATCACCATGGATAAAAATTAGCAACAGAATTAGTTGTATCAAATTTGCTGGTCACTATTCTTGTCCAGGGTATTCTATTCTGGACATCCCTTATCAAGATAAGTTTATTGATGGAATTGGTGGTCCTGGAACAAAAGTACTAGTACCACTGGAGGAACAGAGTTTAATACAGGAAACAAGCAAGGAACACCTATACAATTTGCTACAATATCAGAAGATTGGCAAAAATGAAGAAAAACGACTATTAAACTATCCCAATAAAGTTAAAGAACAAATTATACTATACAAGCGAAACAACCCCTTACCAAGTCTTAACCAATGGTACAGAGAAACAAACACAAAGTATAAACTAATGAGAAATAAAGGCACACTCAAGGAAGTTGTGATATATCATCTACAACAACCCATTAGTCCATCTTACTGGGAGCTGGATAACTATTATATCCAAGAAATGCTGCAAGCAGTCAATTGGACAAGGGCAACAAGACAATCTGTGACGATTTCAAAATATGTATACAGTGAGAAAAGAATCAAAAAGAAGGTATTACCAACATTGGGCATATGGTATAAAGGACCACCAGCCAGAGAATTTAAGATTACCTATGAAGGAATTTATTTTACTCTACACATGAGAATGGCTAAAAAGCAGATGAAGAAGGAAGCAAAACTGAAACATAAGATAAGTAAAAACCCATACCACAAATTCCCATTGGAAATGAGAGAAGCTGCCCAAACATCTACCTTACTACATGGTATTGATTCAAATTTTAAGAATTTAAAAAAGTTTACCCAACAGCTGTCAAGTCTTCTCTGCAATCAATTTGTTCAAAGAAGCAGAATGATGGCATTACTAGCAAATTTGGATCCTCAATTGACCACAGTGTTAACAAATGAGTTGGGAATGCACAGTAGTCAGATGGGAGAATTAGCTATAATTAAACAATGTTCACCAATAGCCTCAACAGAAGTAGTTTGTGACTTAAGCATGATAAAAAAGAATAACAAATGTTCTCAATTTTTACTTGTCACCATGAACAACCTGCTTTTCCAAGTAGAACCAGTTACTCATGTTTTACAGCAAGTCAATCCTGAAGAGATTACCTATAATGAGTGTAAGTCTAACAAGTTATTCTACAAAACAACTCACAACCCATTAAATCCTATAAGAAACCAACCAATGAAAGACAAAACGTATGTGTATTATTCAGAAAGAGGATGCAGATTTCACACTGTGTCTGCAAAATCCATGCAGTTACATATCCACAATCACCTTTCTGAACCAAAAATTGAAATTGCCAGATTAGCTGATCTACTCCACCATGGGGTAAAGAAGGATATTGCATACCAGCACTCAAAAATTAAGCAAGTTATCAGTTCACTGGAACAGAAGCAGGCAAGGTATGATAACATGGTCACTGTTGCAGAGAAAAATGGCATTGTACCCAATTTATCTGGAATTAAAAAGTTTTTCCATAGTTGGTACTATAAACCTGGGAAAACACTTTATGTTATCATACGAAATATTTGTTTGAGTATTGTAGTGTCAATGGTATGTATCATCATTTTCAACTATATTATTGGAAGAAGAAAACAAAGAGAAGAAATTGCTACCCCAAGTGAGAGCACAGATAACTCTCCTGAAAACCCAAAACTAATGAAACAAAGTTGTAGCTTTAGTCAACATCAAACTAATGAAGAAGAACAACCACCTGTAATTCTCATTAAATCAAGATGAAGGGACTCATCTTCACAAAGAAGGGGGAAGTTGTACAACTTTGGTTATATTTTACATGCTTGAACTCTATTATTTTATGCAACATATACATGTACATCTTAAAACCTACGCAAGAAAATGCTATAACATTGGCCAAACATAAGTCTGATTAGTCAGCTTGAAGGTTCATCTTTAATTACCAATAAAGGTTTGGCCAAGTTATAATTTAATTAACTTGCCTAGGGTGTGGCCAAGTTATAATTCAATTAACCTTCCTAAATGTTGAACCTTGTAACATCCTGTTACTAAAGATAAATATGAACTACACATTTCGGCAACTGTAAAGTGATGATTGGATGTCAGAGACAAACCTCAAAGTATATAAATCCTCATTATTCTCATTTGGCATGCAGCTTCCATCTGGACCCAAGGACCTGGGAAAATCATCTGGAAACAACCTCCACTGGAACCTTCCATCTACTCCTCAACATTGGAAGACAGTTTGGTAATTTGGCAACCTGCTATTACAAACTATCTACTCTGCTATTGAACTCTCATATTGTTACTTGCTTAAGTATTATTATTGCGAATAAACCATTTTAATTTAAACATTTGTTTAAAGGTTCGAGTAGAACCAGTATTGTTATAACTTGCAAACGCATAGATTTTGCCAGCAAGAGCAGTACAAGAGCTTTTTCAAATGTTTATATTACATACATCCATTATTGAATTTTTGAGGTTTTTTTATCCATTTAAATTTACTGTTTTCTGCAGTACTTCCTGGATTGTTCAATTTCAAATTACACATATTTTCATCCATATTAAAATTACAGTAGAGAAAAGACTTTGATGGTTTTATCATAAATGGAAAATATCTTTTATAAAATGAAGAAAATATTGTTTTGCATAGATATTCATTTGTTAAATTTAATTGATTGTTTGAAAGTAGTTCTTCAACATACCAAACATCTTTTACAGTTAAATCAACAATTTTCATATTTAAATAGTCAAATTTCAAAACTGGATCAGTTAATGATTTATCTATAAATTGTTCCACATCCACAACTTTGAAATGTTTTCCTTTATGTGGTTGACTATTGATGCTAATGAAATATTGAACAATGATACTTCCAGGAGTAAATTTGAAATTATCAATAGATTGAATTTCACTATTCTTTTCCTCAGTCCATAATCTAAATAGATTGTAGATAAAAAACTGATATCATTCTTGTAAAGATTAAAAGTATCCAAGTGATTATTTGATAATTCGGAAGAAAATTGTTGATTAATTATCATTTCCATTGCAATGATGATAAATTTACCTAAAAAATTATGGCATTTGTAAGATAAAAAAAAACTAATGGAAAAATGTTTAGAAAATTTATTACCATTCTTTGTTTTATTCTGTTCATCTAAATTATTGTCTTGATTTTATAGTGAGCAAGGAAAGAATTTTAACCATTAATTAAAAGTAGGCCTATAAAAATGTACAGTGTCCATTCATTTGTGTAGTTTAAATTTTTGTAAAAAAAGATTAACACTATTTATAGGCCAGTCTTTTCACAGCAAACAACTAAATGCTTATGGATAAGATTTCTGTTCAGTACAATACTCTTTTTTTCAATATTTCTTTATTTAAATATAATACATCTATTACAGTTGTATTGAAAAATTGAATAAATATTCAATGGTTATTTTATTAGGGGAATTTACCTTTTAACCTGAGCATTATACAATTTTAAACAGATATATTAATAATTTTGTTAGAAAGTTGCTTTTAATTGGCAATTTGATCGAGTAAACCCTATTTCTTTTTAATTCATAGAAAATTTAACAAAAGCCATAAGTCATACACATTTACATTGGTAGATAAAAGTTTTCTATATACATATATGCAGTCTATAGGGGGAAAAATTCAGACTGATTAGTCACATTTTACAGACACATTCTGTTTTTTTAAAACAAATATTTAATTATTGCCATTAAAATAAAAAGCATAGTGATTTCAGTAGATTGTTTAGCTGCTCCACTAGGTTCTTCATTGAATCCTTTATTGTTTCCCCCATTAGACCCTCCATTGTTTCCTCCATTGGATCCTCCATTGTTTCCGCCATTCGACCCTCCATTGTTTCCTCCATTGGATCCTCCATTGTTTCCCCCATTCGACCCACCATTGTTTCCTCCAGTTGATCCTCCATTACTTCCAGTGTCTTTTTTACCTAAAAAAATTGTTTAAAATAAGTTATAAAGTAAGAAAAATAAATTGTTAGGTAAAATCTTACATTGAATATTCTCCAAAGTTTGTTTCATGCTACCTCTGTAAGCACCACACCTTTGTAATTTATCTTTATATTGTTTCATAAAACTGCATGATATTATATCATTTTGTCCATTGAGCTCTGCTAATGTTCTTTGACAATCTTGAAAAAAGGGACAAACCAAAAATAAATATTATAGTTTATCTTCTAAAGATAAAAATCAAAACAGAGATTAGAAAGACTATATACCTGTACTACATATGTCATCTTTTATTCCTTTTGCTGTATCAAAGCCAAAAACTATGCATTGACTAGTAATACTACTTAAACAATCAACAAACATATCATAATCTCGGCAATGTTTTTCAGCACTGTATAATTTATCTAGATCTTCAATATCTGAATTGCAGGTGAGAATGTGTTAAAACATAAAGCTCATATTATTTTACTACTATAGCTAAAAACAAAACATCTACAATATCACAATCATACCAAGCCAAAATTATCTGCAATGCTTGTATAAGATATTGTTTACTCTATTTCTGAGCCTTTGGAATATTTTACTTTGAATTACAAAATTTTTCATTAAATTTTATTTTAACTTTTATCATTTCTCTCATACCATTCTGTCACTTACTTTGGGCTCTGTTTCTGTTGCTTGAGTCTGGACCAGGTGTTCACTATTACTTTACTTGTGATGTGATATCAAGTCATGCTGACCAGCTGGCTAATAGAGATTATAAAATGTTTGATGTCAACTGACATCCTTATAAAAATAGGCCTATTATATTTGTTAGTATAATTACTACAAAACAAAAATAACAAAATTTTCAGTAAAAGTATATATTTTATATAATAAGACAGCAAAAGTTGTATAATAATCACAAAAACTATCTTATACATGTTCCATAGGAGAGATGGAAACCATTTGTTTTTTAAAAAAGAAAGCATAAAATAGAATGATTGGAAATGCATTCATGCAAAATACATAGTATAATAAATCTTCATAATTTTCACATCCACAACTGTAATAATTTTAAAAAATCAACCTTGAATTCAATGGTTAACGATTTATTTTACTAGGGGAATTTACCTTTTAACCAGAGTATTATACAATTTCTGACAGATATTGTACACAAATTATATTGATATTCGAAATTATTCAAATATTCAAATTTTTCTTTCATTTTAGAATTGAATATTCTTCTTCTCATTATGGCGGGATTTTCTGACTCACCATTAAATTCTATTATACTCTTGTAATCCACATTTGAAATGTTAACCATAGAATAGACATTTCGAAAACAACAGCTTTTATTAATGTTAAACATTTTAATATAAATGGTTTGAGAATATGGATATCCTGCTAATCAGTAGGTGAATATTTTTAGGACATAAAAAAATAACAACTTAAAATCTGATGAAAAGTCAGAAATGTGATCTAATCTTCGTTTGATGTGGACGGAAAAAAAAGGGTAGAGGAGAAAATGCCCACTATAGAAATTTAATGTAGGCAAGAAATTATTTAATATATGGAGTTATTATAATAATTTGAAACAAAAACAAAAAACAAATAAGAAGAATTAGAAATATTTGAATATGAAATGGCTTGAACAACAATCATTAAAAATTATTGGATTTAGTTGCTGCTTGTTAAATGGAGAAGAACAAATAAAATTTGGAAATCTTCTAAGATAATGTTCAAAAATAAAAAATATTTATATTTTTCATACAATGTTTATACCAGAGATGAACTTTTGAATATTTTTAAAAAATTTGAACAAACATTAGAAAGATCAAGGCTTTGATAACTTCAATTACAATTTCTTGCCAGAGTAATGGACATCACTTTTCACAAAATAAAATAATACTTTAATTGTTGGTATAAATTGAATTTTCTTGTTTCCAATATCACTTATTAGACTACCAGAAGCTGTTGAGACACCTCTATTTGCCCTAGATGTTTATATTGATATATTTGTTATTCAAATCATTTTTGAAAATGTGAGTATTAAAAGAGTTTTTGTTTTTTTTACATGTTCTCTAGTTGTAAAGAATTCTACTAAAATAGAAAGATTTGAATATTCATTGCCATAGTCATAATTAATTTTTTCAATTCAAATTCAATTCACACTTTATAGCAACAATGTCTAACAACAAGTGTAAAACTGCTCACAAAAGCACAAAAGTCATTTACTAAATTTACTAAAGTGTTTTCATCTGCTAGTGTTTGTAAGCTGAGATAATGGAAACAGAAAATTAACTATTGGAATTTTTTTTTTGAAATTGAGCAATATGAAGTTGTAAAGTACTAATTTGAATTCAAAATTTGAAATTCTGAACCAAACCAAATGTGTGAGGGGTGAAATAGAAAAATTTGAACATTTTTTAAAATGTTTGGACCCATAGCTCAATTCCTCAGCCCACATTTTTTTCAAATGACATAAAAAGGGGTCGACAGAAAATGTCCACAAATGAGAAATTTCAAGACTAGATTTTGGATTGAGAAATGGTTAGGCAGAAGAAACCAGCAACTGATTTGTACTTAAAAGGGTCTCCTCTAAGGGTTAGGGCTAATGGAAAAGGTTAGGGTTAGGGTAAAAGCACCAATTTATGGACATAGTCTGTCGCATCCGTGTCTAAAATCAGAGTTCAATACTGTATGCTTTTGTGAACATTTTTAACAAAATTCAAAAGAGTTAGAATATATTTTATATAAAATTAAAACTTCTGTTGTAGACGCTTCCGTTAAATAATTTTTCAAAGTTTTTAAAATTGCAAAATTACTTAAACTGCACTTTTTTGTAGAAATTGAATAAATCATATTTTCACAATTTGCATCATTCAAACAATAATTGAAACATTGTAGAATAGTTGAATTGAATTTTGAAGAATAGATATAAATTGATTTTGGGACAATATTTTCAAATTTCAGAAGTAATTTAACTGTGTAAAATTGAATGAAAAATATTCAAGAGAATTAAGGATTTTTTCCTTCATTCATCAAAATATTTTTACTTACCATCAGTTTTCGGTAAAGTTTCTTTCCGTAATACGTAATAACTACACATTGAGTACAATTCATCTTCCGAATAAATTCTTACCTGTTTCGCTACTATTTCATTGTTACAGTAGAATGTAAAGTATGTTGATTCTGAAATTTTGAGAACATCTGTAAAATTTGTACATAGCGTTTCAGTTGTTGGTGTGACGCCATAAATTTTTAAACTGGACGAGGAGGAAACATTTGCAGTTTGTAATAATAAAAAGCCTACTGCAAAAAATCTGAAAAAAACTGGAAATTGAATGTAATAGTCTTTTGCAGGAGAAAGGAGACAATTTGAATTTGGTTGAACTGTTAATGTACTCAGTGAATAACCGGAAGTTGCAAAAGAAAATTTGCCCAAACTATTTATACTGTATGGTTTGCTTTCACCAAGAATAAATACTTCACAAATTTTCATTTGTTTATTGCCGCCAATTTTATAGAATGATACTCTATCGCCAATAAATTTACATTCATATAATAAATGCTCCATTGAAGATTCATTTGTAAAAGGGCAAACTTGTCTTTGTAATACAGTATTAAAGATTTCAACTACCACTTGAACATTTCCAAAGTTTTCTATAGTAAAAAGAATTGATAATAGAATGAAAAAGATACAGCAGAGTGAGGGAGAGAGAGAGAGAGAGAGAGAGAGAGAGAGAGTAAACTGGTAGTACCTATATTATATGGAGAAACAAGTAAAAGAACAATTTGATTAACCAAGTAATAGTTATCCATATAAACAGTAATTCTTGCTTCAATATTATCATCAGCTGTCAAAGCTCCAGAACATGATAAACTTGTACCAAAGAGATTTGAATTGCTGCTCAAACCATCAATAATCTTCAATGGATACTGCTCACTCTCTTTCCTATTTTTGAATGGTTTTCCATTCACATTTCTATCGCTTTTACTCAATGGTAAAATATTTAAATCGTTATCTATCAATTTTGCACCAAATGCCTCAAATTCCTTTATATTGAAATGGTGAGCAGTCGAATTTAAATAGAAAATTGCGTAACGTCCAACCGGAAATGGTTGAGTACAATTCCAAATTCTATAATCGCCACCAACAAATTTAAAATTATTAATAAAACAAGTTTTTGAGTATAGATGCTCAAGGTTAATGTCAAAATGTTGATAATCTGATACTAATCCAACAATGTATCTTGCTCTCTGATCTGGAAAAGAACAAAATTGATAAGAGAGTGGTATATTTGAAATTGGTATTTTCCTCTAATTCTTACTGTTTCCTTCTCTATTTTTTATGGCCATCTGAAAAATTTGATAAATTCCAAGCATATCAATCCTTATCCATGGTTTTATCCTGGATTTTGAATGATATAAATCCGAATAATCTCCATTTACACCTCTATAACTTTGAAATTGAATAGTATATGTAGAATCACTCCATGCTGGTTTATTGAGTAGTATATTCGTATTTTTCTGATCAGATACCCTTAAATATCGCCCAAACATAGAAATTTCTTCCAATGCAATCACTTTTACATTATTTTGCTTAGAGCGAAAAACAACAAATTGACCTTCAACGCCACCTTTCGGACATAACATTGAATATACTGTATCATTTGTTATTGGATCGTTATTCTTTTCAGCACAAAGCTTGTATGTTATTGAACTGATAGCGCCACCTGGATTATCATTTGTCAAAGAAATGTAGAAATCTTTAAACATATGTAATNGGATTATCATTTGTCAAAGAAATGTAGAAATCTTTAAACATATGTAATTTATTTATATTTGGTTTGAAATCAAGACCAAAAACGTTGTAATAAGCTAAAAGGTTAATTGAAAGCCAATATTGATTTCCAATTTTCATTTCTGAGAAAGTTTGGTGTAATCCGTCGTTTAATTGATACGTATATTTATTTGAGGTAGTTGATATAATTGGTTTTTGTAGGGCAATATTATCTATAAAATACATAAATTAGTTAGTTAATTCAAATATATATTTAAATAATAGTTATTTTTGTTTTTACTTAAAAAGAATTCAATTTCGCAAAGACGTAACGTATTTTCAAGTTTAGATTGGATAATCAGCTTTTCATTTTTTCTAAACATTGAATTTCTACATAAAACATGAGTTGGTGAGTTATTTTTCATAAGAACGTCATCGGAGCATAAATTATCTTCTTTACTTATGAAAATCTTTAATAATTGACTATCATGCTGTTCATTAGTTGGCCAGAGGATAATATGATTGACTGTCTGATATCCGATCAGTTTAATCGCTATTTTAGGTTTTATTCCATCTTTTTGGTTCAAAATGGTACAAGTTCCTAATGAAATATTACTTTGATGTAGGCCATCTACAATATTAATTGGATCTAGTAATGGCCCATCAAATGTACCATAGTACTCAATAGGCCTATTAAGCGCTTCGTTTTTCCCCCAATAACTTTGCTCAAAGCAGATCAGTCTATAATATTCAGAATTGGAAGTCACGCTATATTCTAATTTGGAAGATTCAAACATTTCTGCTGCATAATTCTCAAAATCTAAAATAGTTAACGATGATTGAAATTCATTAGGCCTAAATCCTTCTGTAAAACAGCCATTTTCAATCCAAATAAGTGTAAAGCATTCATAAATTGGTGGAGGAACATTAAAATTTGAACCACAAACTCCTAATTTCATATCTTTTTGAATAATTACAAAAGAGTCTACCTGTTCAACTAACGGAAATGATATTTGGTGTAAATTTGACATAATTTAGAATTGTTGTTATAAGAAATTCCAACACAATCGTACGAATGAACGTTCAA